AGGTCGCACTCTGCACCAGCGACTTCAAATCCGTGGCCGGCGGCGGAGGTGAGGCGCTACGAAATCCTTGTCTGGGAGCTTTAAAGTCTTTTTAATGAGCTTCACGCCAGAAACCCAATGCACCCATTGCTCGTCATCCAAATGCATCGGCACAAGGCTTCGTAACTCACGCGCCCGAGCCTGTGCCACCTTGTAATCGTCCGTAGCCTTCAGGAACGCCGGGACGATCTTCTCTTTCTGCAGAGCCTCCGTGGCTCCGATGTCATTGGTGGCCAGCGTCGTGATCTCCACGTTCGGGTCATCTGCGAAGCGAAGGCGGCTGCCATCGGCCTGTTCTGTGACCCCACGGAGATCTACCACGTCACGAGGAACCACGCGCATGGCTGCCTCCCACGAGGGCGAAGACCATGAGGACCCTTTCCCTCCAATGAAGACTGGCGCAGGCTGCTGTTGCATGTATCCTTTGCCCTTGCCGGACGACTGATCTGCCCACTGCTGCGCCTGCACGAACGGATTGCGCGCCATCTGATTGTGCACACGAACGCCAATGTGTTGCCAGACAGCGGAGCAAGTAGAATGCGAATGGCAAACGAGAAGCAATATGAAACAGTATAGAAGCAATATGAAACAATATAGAAACAATATAGAAGGAATGTGTGTACAGTAGCGAATCTGCTCGGGAGCGGGGGGGTCCGATCGCCGAACTTGGCTGAGAGACGATATCAGCAGTATTTTCCTTGGCTTCCAACTGCGACTGCCCTGAGCCAACGTGATTACAAACGCACCTGATGCAAGAGACGGCGGGGGGACAGGGGACGGAAGAGGAAGAAGAAACAAAAGAAACAATAAAGAATAACTGCATCGGTGGTCACAGTCTTTACTCACGCCGTATAGAACAAACACGGAGCAAACGACCCAATGACATCCTCGAAATCAGCCGGCTCGGCCCCATCACAAGCGAGAGGGGGAGGCAGGGACGGCATCACGAGTGGGATGTGTATGGTATTGCTCGTGTGGGGACAAAACATGCGAAAATACATGACCTAAGTACGGATGCTCTCGGAGAAGCCTGTGTAGAACGCGGCGCAAGAGACAGGGAGGATATTGTAAAGCCTCGAACTCACTAAACAATATGCTGATGTCAGGACGAGGAGGAGCAGGAGGAGGAGAAGGAGGAGGAGGAGGAGGAGGAAGAGGAGGAAGAGGAGGAGGAGGAGGAAGAGGAGAGGAGGAGGACGAGCAGGAGGAAGAGGAGGAGGTACAGGATGAACAGGAGGAGGAGAAAGAGGGAGGAGGGAGGAGGAGGGACAGGAGGAGGAGACGGAGGTGGACGAGGAGGAGGAGGAGGAGGAGGAGGAGGGAGGTGGCGGGCCGAGTGGAGGGTGGAGGGAGTTGAGAGGTGGCCGAACGGGGTGTGAAGCATGGGAGGGGGGTCTGGGCCTCGACCAAAGGGCACACATTCCCGTCGACTGCTGCCCGTCCGGCGGTGGGGTGGGTGTGTGTGTGGGTTGGGGGGGGGGGGGGGGGGGCGAGGCGCGGGTTGTGATCGGGGAGGGGGGAGGCGGAGGAATAGGAGGAGGAGGAGCAGGAGCAGGAGCAGGAGCAGGAGCAGGAGCAGGAGCAGGAGGAACAGGAGCAGGGGGAGGAGGAGGAGGAGGAGGAGGAGGAGGAGGAGGAGGAGGGAAAGGAGGGACAGGAGGAGGAGGAGGACGAGGAGGGACAGGAGGAGGAGGAGGAGGAAGAAAAGGAAAAGGATCTGGAACGAATAGGGGGAGGAGGAGGCGAAGGTTGGAGGGGCTCAGACCCGCTCCTTGCGTCGTGAAACAATACATGGAGCGGAATGTGTGTGTGTGTGTGTCTGCGTGTGTGTGTCAGTGTCCGTGTCTGTGTCTGTGTCTGTGTCTGTGTCTGTGTCTGTGTCTGTGTGTGTATGTGTATGTGTCTGTGTCTATGTCATTGTCTGTGTCTGTGTCTGTGTGTGTGTGCGTGTTTGCCGTGTTCGGCTTCTGGGGGCCTGGGCTGGGCCCCTGGCTTTTCACAGAAACCAGCTCGGGGTGGAATTCCCGTCCCTGGGGAGGGTTCCAGACCTCCCCGGGCCCATACTGCAGAAGAACACGACGTCGGGGGGGTTGGGGGGAGGAGGAGGAGGAGGAGGAGGAGGAGGAGGAGGAGGAGGAGGAGGAGGAGGAGGAATAGGAATAGGAATAGGAATGGAATGGAATGGAATGGAATGGAATGGAATGGAATGGAATGGAATGGAATGGAATGGAATGGAAGAGGAGGGAGTGTGGAGGAAGGGTGAGGAAGAGTTGGGTGGGAGGGGGAAAGTGGAGGGGAGGGCTGAGCGGAGGCGGCAGGGCTGAGCAGGGGACGGGAGGAGGAGAGACCAGGATGGAGGCTGGAGGAGGGGAAACGTAAGACTCGAGTGCGCTGGAACTCGGGTTTGCCGACGCTTTTTGGCGAGCGCGTCTTGGATTTTGACGGTCCAGTTTCGTGGGATGCTTGCAGCGGGAGCTCTCGTCAACTCTTAGATTAGGGTCTCATCATTTTCATGATTCATGATGGCTCCGTCAGGCCAACCCGAGTCCCCCGAACCCGAGTCTGACATCTCCCCGAGGGGAGGGGTCGGCGGCGAGCCCAGGGGGGAATGCAGAGGGAGGCGGGCCGTCTTAGCAGGCTCCGAAGGCCTCCGGCCTTCTGAGAGGTTTCCTGAGCCTTCCCCGAGGATCGAGACAATTTCTGGGAAGGCGCTGAGCAGCCCCGATACCTCCTGAGAATGCCTTCCCCCTCTCACTTTCCCCTGGGCTCGCCGCCGAGAGGGAGGATGGGGGGCCGAGTGGGCAGCTCTTTTTTCTGCTCAGCTGGGGCCGTCGGTCGAAGGGCGGAGGTCGGAGGAGGCATGGTGAGGCATTGCTAGGACGACGGAGAACTTCGAACGAGGAAGAGGAAGGAGGGATGAAGAGGAGTGAGGGAGGGAGAGAGGAAAGAGAGGGGGGACGAAAAGTAGCACATCGCAGCGCATGCTGCCCACCTGGCCCGCGAGTGCAAGCGCGCGCTGGAGGAGCTCCTCGGCGCCCCGATGGACGACCTCGCGCAGGAGCAAGCCGCCCTGCCCGGGGCGTTAGGCGTCCTCACGCTGACGCTTCCGTCGCAGCTCCGGGCAGCGGCCGCGTTCCACGAAGCTGAGGTGGCCCACCGTGCGCCTGTTCAGCGGCTCGCCGCGGAGCTGGGGCGCCCGACGCGGGGGTATGTGGCAGACGCCTCTGCAGCCAGAGCGGCAGCCACGGTTCTATGTGCGAGTGGGGTCGATATGAGGCAAGCGGTCTTGGCGTTACAGCTGAAGCCAGAAAGCGTTTCGACGAGGGTCCGTGGGCGGGCGAACCCAGAAAGCTGCAGTGTTCGCTTCCCCCCACTCAGAGGCTCCGCAAGCCTCTGCACTGCCAGCTGGAGCTGGCAGCGGAGAGGGAGTGGCGAACCAGTGGCACGGGGCCTCTCAAGGACGCCCCCGTGTCTACGGGCGGGCGATGCGGGGCGTGGACACACTGCGGGCAACGCCACTCCACGCCGTCATGCTGCATCACCGCCAGACGCGCTTGCTGCCTTCTGGCAGCGAGGACACGGGTGCGTCCCGGACAATTGCGCCTTCAAAGCCGCCTCTGCGCACCGCCAGTGCGCAGTGGGCAATTGCCACCCGCAGCCAGCTTGGCCTCGCCGCCCCGGTCCCAGCACGGCCTGGCATGTTCACTGCGCGTGGCTGGAGATGATACGACAACTTTCAACGTTCCCAGCCTGTGCTCGAAGGGCCGCGCAGGGCGCCTGCGGTGCCACAGTGCAGCGGCGGCGGTGTTCGGCGCCACCTGGAACGGACTGGGTCGCTCGTCGATGCTGAGCGCACCATCCTGGAGTTGTACGTCCAGAAGGACGGCGAGGTCCGCGAGATCATAATGGATCTTGTGGCATGGCGGCCTGCCTCAAGGCGCCGTTTCTGGATCGACGTCACCGTGCGGTCGCCTTTCGCGACCGAGCTGCGGCGCCCGCGCGAGCTGCCGGAGGAGGCCGCGCTTAGCGGCGAGGCGGACAAGCGGTTCCACTACGGCGCTGCCATGGCCCTGTCGGGCCAGCGGCGCTGCAGCTGCTTCCTGGACTCGCTGCAGAAGGACTCGGCCGACTACGTCCAGCTCCGCCCAGGGACCAGACGAGCGACCGCGCGGAACCTGCGAGCCCCGCGCGCCGACATGGAGGCGGCCATCGCGCGCGGCTCGGCGCAGCAGCTCGTGGCGGCGCTGGGCAGAAGCACAGTCCAGACGCTGGGGTGGCCCGCCCGACACGCTGCCCATCTGGCGCGGAAGCGGTGCCGCGTGGTGGAGCGGCAGGGGGCTCCCGGGCGACGCGCGCTGGTGAGAATGGGGCGCGACATGGGCAGGGTGAGAGATGGGACGCTGGCGCGCAGGGCTGCTCGAGGAACGGAGGGAGGGAGGGAGGCGGATGCGGCTTAGGAAGAGAAGGAGAAGAAGGAGGAGGAGGAGGAGGAAAATAAGGAGGAGGAGGAGGAAGAGAAGGAGGAGGAGGAGGAGGAGGAGCGCTGCGGGGTGCGTAGAGTGGGGGGGAGTGAGGGAGAGAGGGGGGGAGCGGATGAGGTTCACGCGCAGAAGGACGAAGAGGAGGGGTGATTAAGATGAGGATGTGGAGGGGTAGGGGGCGAAGAAGGAAGAATCGGTGTTGGGGGTGTTCGGCGATGGTGATGTGGAGGCAGACGCGGCGGAGGAGGCCAATGATGTTGCAGTAGCACCACCAGCATGGTCCGATCGTTCCTGGACGGACCCCTGGCGATATGGCTGAGGGGAACGCCGTGGCCGTGGCCGTGGCCGTGGCCGTCGTCGTCGTCGTCGTCGTCGTCGTCGTCGTCGTCGTCGTCGTCGTCGTCGCAGTCGTCGCCCGTGGAAGCGGAGGCTTCCGCGTCATCGTCGTCGTCGCCGTCGTCGACGTCATCTCCCGGTGAGGATATAGCTGAGGGGGACGTGGACGCTGTTAAAGTGTCCAGCGAGCTCGACGCGGCGTTGGAGCCGAAAGACTCCAACCGGAAGGAGTCGGAGCGTGGAGAGTTTCGGACAGTGGAAGCGGGGGGGTTCGGGACATGACAGGGCGGCGGGGTCGAGAGTTCGCACCGAACTCAGGGGTTTGATTCCCGTCAGAGTCGCAGTCTCCGCCTCTCATCCCCAATCCGCGTCATGCTCCCATACACCATGCATGACAGCCCGGGAGCCTCTCCCAGGCGCTGCTTGCCTTCATTTCTGGCCCCAGTGGGATATTGCTTCGCTTTCATATGGTCGGGTGGGCTCCCCAGGCTTTTGCCCGGTGCCCGCCTGCGGGCGCTCCGTGCGTTTGCTGGGCTCCCTGGGTTTTCCTCCCGGCGCCGTGCGCTGGTCGGGGTCTCGACACAGATACGCAATGTTGTGGTCTCTCCAGGTTTTTACGTGCCACAGTACCTCCAAACTGTGGTGGTAGATTCAGCCGTGTGAGGGGTCGGGCGTCGGAGGAGGAGAAGCGGTATTTTCAGCGGCGTTCGTCTTCCTATGTGCCCCGATCTTTTCAGTCCGGTTTGATTAGTAGTCGGCATTCGTGTCTGGGACCAGGGTTGCCTTCGGAAGAGTCTTGTGTCCTCTCGGGTGTCATCTCCAATCGGTCCCGCCTACGCTGCAGGCGCAGGCAGCTGGCCCCAAGGGTTCTGCTCGAGGCGCGTCTGGGGCCGAGCCGGCAGTCTCGACACACCTTGGCCAGCCAGTGTCGGGGCGGACGAACCGGGGGGACTGGGCACCACGGGAGGCGGGGTACGACAATTGCTGCGTTGAGCTGGTTTGGGCCCCGCTGCCGTCCTCGATACACGGCCGCCTCGGGCTCTGGGAGTTGCCGGTACCCCCTTTACTACCTCCAATTACTACCTCCGACTGCGTTTGTTCGTCAGTGGGCCCAACGTGCAAGGTGCAGTGCAGTGGCGAGGTTTGACCGGCACATCTCTTGCCAGCGCGGATCTGAGACGCTCCGAGCTGTGCCGGGCACGCGCAGGCGCGAGTTGGGTCCAGGAGCGCGCAGGGAGGGGGCGAGCTGCAGCAGACGGGATGCGCGGGCTTGCAGGTGCGGGAGAAGGGCAGCAGCCTCAGGTCTGGCCGGTGCACAGGCGTTTGGCATTCTGATGATTTTCGGCGACCTTCTTCGCCCCCTCGCCTCCTCCAGGATAAGGACAAGGACAAGCGGTCCTTCCTGGAAGAGGTCCTGGCCGAGGCTCGGCCGCCTGGAGGTCTGTCGAAGCCAGGCTCGAAGGAGGACGGCGAGAAGGATGGGGCCAAGGTTGATGGGCCGCTCGAGGATCGGGGGGGAGCATGGCCTCCTGGTCTCTGCTCCTCAGACTGATCCTGCATCCTCTTTGGTGGTTTTGCTGCCTCCTCCCGCCGCTGCTGATCCTGTCCACGCTTCTGCTCCTGCTACTCCTCTTGTTCATCGTCGTCGTCCTCGTCCACAGTGAGTTCAGAGCGTATGATTTATCGTGGTTCTATCAGATGTTCCTGGGGTTCTAGATTGTGGCTCTCTGCTTACAGATGCGCGTGCACCCTGGACACGTTTGACATGATGATTGGTATTGTTGGCTCGCTGGTGTTCCAGAAGACGTGCAGCAATGAGTTTTGGTACTTGCGTCCAGGGCAAACGAAAGAGCGCTTTCTGGCGCCACTGGCGGGGGTTTCCCCCCCCCCCCCGCCCCCCAAACCAGAAGGTGTGGGGGGGGGGTCGGACACCAGGGGGACCCGCCCCCGAATAAACACGGAGGGGAGGTGCAATCGACTCCCCCCGCTCCCCAGGCCTTCCGGGGGGGGTTCAAATCCCAGCCCCCTTAGCCGCCGGCAGCCGCCGCCGCCGACAGCGACGACGACGACGACACCTTCTTGCGCCAAAGGCGGGAGGATCAAACTCCCCTCCCTCTCCAGGTCCTCCCTGGGGGGTTCGAAATCCCCCCCCCTCCTCCCCCTACTCGCCGCCGGCAAACGACGGCGACGACGATGACGACGTCGTCGCAGATCTGCGCCAGCGCCCGTTCACCCGCGTTGGAGAAGAAGGACAAGGGAGAGGGACGGGGGAGGAGGAGGAACAGCAGCGGGAGGGGGCGGTGGTTCAGGGGTGGGAACGGCAGTGGGCGAGAGAATGCGAAGAGGAGGGGGAGGAGAAGGAGACGAAAAAGGAGGAGGAGAAGGCGGAGGAGGAGGAGGAGGAAGAGAAGGAGGAGGAGGAGGAGGAGGAGGAGGAGGAGGAGGAGGAGAAGGAGTAGGGTGAGGACGAAGAGGAGGGGAAGGAGGAGGAGGAGGAGGAGGAGGAGGAGGCAGACTGTTTATGCATCAGACTTTGGTGTCCCGCCCACCCGACCCGACCCGCCCGATATGGTCCGCCCGATAGGGTCCGCCCGTCCCGACCCGCCCGTTCGGGTTCTCATGTGTCATGGTGCATACGCATCAGACTTTCGTGTCCCGCCCACCCGACCCGACCCGCCCGATATGGTCCGCCCGCCCGACCCGCCCGATAGGGTCCGCCCGTCCCGACCCGCCCGTTCGGGTTCTCATGTGTCATGCTGTATACGTCAGACTTTGGTGTCCCGCCCGCCCGACCCGACCCGCCCGATAGGGTCCGCCCGACCCGCCCGATAGGGTCCGCCCGTCCCGACCCGCCCGTTCGGGTTCTCATGTGCCATGGTGTATACGCCCGCCCGACCCGCCCGACAGGGTCCGCCCGTCCCGACCCGCCCGTTAGGGTTCTCATGTTCATGCTGTACACGTCAGACTTTAGTGTCCCGCCCGCCCGACCCGACCCGCCCGATAGGGTCCGCCCGACCCGCCCGATAGGGTCCGCCCGTCCCGACCCGCCCGTCCGGGTTCTCATGTGTCATGGTGTCTACGCATCAACTTTCATGCCCGCCCGCCCGACCCGACCCGCCCGATAGGGTCCGCCCGCCCGACCCGCCCGATAGGGCCCGCCCGTCCCGACCCGCCCGTTAGGGTTGTCATGTGTCACGGTGTATACGTCAGACTTTGGTGTCCCGCCCGACCCGACCCGCCCGATAGGGTCCGCCCGACCCGCCCGATAGGGTCCGCCCGTCCCGACCCGCCCTTTCGGGCTCTCAGGTATCATGGTGTATACGCAGCAGACTTTCGTGTCCCGCCCGCACGACCCGACCCGCCCGATAGGGCCCGCCCGCCCGACCCGCCCGATAGGGTCCGCCCGACCCGACCCGTCCGTTCGGGTTCTCATGTGTCATGATGTTTAGTGTATACGCATCAGACTTTAGTGTCCCGCCCGCCCGACCCGACCCGCCCGTTAGGGTCCGCCCGCCCGACCCGCCGATAGAGTCCGCCCGTCCCGACGCGCCCCGCCCGCCCGACCTGACCCGCCCGAGAGGGTCCGGCCGCCCGACCCGCCCGATAGAGTCCGCCCGTCCCGACCCGCCCGCTCGGGTTCTCATGTGTCATGGTGTATACGCATCAGGCTTTAGTGTCCCGCCCGAATGACCCGACCCACCCGACAGAGTCCGCCCGACCCGCCCGATAGGGTCCGCCCGACCCGCCCGCTCGTTCCGACCCGCCCGTTAGGGCCCGCCCGCCCGACCCGCCCAATAGAGTCTGCCCGTCTGGAGTTGCCCGTTGGGGTTCTCATTTGTCACTTTGTGTATGCATCAGACTTTAGTGTCCCGCCCGCCCCCGACCCGCCCGATAGGGGTCCGCCCGTCCCCTCACGCCCATTAGGGTCCTCATGTGTCATGCTGTATTATACGCATCAGACTTTCGTGTTCCGCCCGCCCGACACCACCCGCCCGATCGGGTCCGCCCGCCCGACCCGTCCGATAGGGTCCGCCCGGCCTCGGCGAGGAAGCCGAAATCATTGATTTTACTATGGTTTGGGCCCCATTTTGCCCTTTTGAGGGGGGGGCTGAAATTTAGGACCCCCCCTTCTTTGATCGATTCCCTCCACGATGGCCGCAAGAGGCCCCCAGGATGCCCCAAGAGGCCGCAGGATGGCCCCAAGATGGCCCCAAGAGGCCCCCCAAGAGGCCCCCAGGAGGCCCCCAAGAGACCCCCAAGAGGCCCCAAGAGACCCCCCAGAGGCACCCAAGGTGCTCCCAGAGGCCCCAAGATGGCCCCAAGAGGCCCCAAGAGGCCCCCAGGAGGCCCCAAAGAGGATTCCGAACGGCCCACAGAGGCCACCCCGAGGCACCCAAGACGCCGAAAAGCCCCTCAGGACGACCCTCTACTCGCCTGGGCGTCGTTTCTGGACGGGCTGGTGGGGATACGCGAAGCGTCTAGAATTCGTTAAACCACGTTTGCCCAAAGAGCTGGTGGGCTTTATGCCACGAGGAGGGGGCACGGGGCAATGGCGGAAGGGGGGACGAAGGAGGAGGGAAAACCGAGGAGGGAAGTGGGAGGAGGCAGGAGACAACAAACCGAGAGAAAGAAACAGGACAAAGTAGGCAGGAGGCAAGACAGACAGGAAAAAAGGAAGTAGAAGAGAGGAGCACCACGAGGAGGAGAAAGAGGAGGAGGAGGAGGAGGAGGAGGAGGAGGAGGAGGAGGGAAAAGACGGAATAGGAGAGGTAGGATGAGTTGGAGGAGTTGTGTTCCAGGACCAGTCCTGTGAAGGGGGAGGTGGAGAAAACATGGTTGGGGGCCGGAAGAAAGGTTACATGTGTCAAGCGCGGGAACCATCGATGCATCGGCCTGGCCTGCAGGGTCCACATTGGCAGGCGCGCCATGAGAAGAGGGGGAGCTGGGGAGAGGGAGCCCCTGAGTGTGGGTTCCACCGGCCCGGGAGGATCTCTTCAACTCGGGGAAGGGGGAGAAGGACCGCAAGCGCAGCCGCTCCAAGCGCAGCCGCTCCAAGCGCAGCCGCTCCAAGCGCAGCCGTTCCAAGCGCAGCCGCTCCAAGCGCAGCCGCTCGCGAGACCGAAGGCGCCCGCCGCGGCTCTGCCCCGTGCCTCTTAATGCCGCCTTCCTGCGGCCTTGATGGGCAGTTTTTTTGGGCACGCAGTGGATAGTGGGTAAGCTTGGAGTACTGTTTGATCGCGCGCGCGTGTGTATGTATGTGTGTGTATGTTGGTGTGTGTGTGTGTGTGCGTGCGTGCGTGCGTGCGTGCGTGTGTGTGTGTGTTTGTGTGTGTGTCAGTGCGAGCGAGCGTGCGTGCGTGCGTGCGTGTGTGTTTGTGCCTGTGTGTGTGGGTGTTTGCTGGCCCCGCCACGCACCCGGAACTGCTCTGAGCGGGCCCGACTCGTCGCGGTCCCTTCCTCTGGCCAGCGCCTTGTCGTCCTCCTTTCCCTTCCCTCCTGCATGGTGGCTGTTTTCGCCAAACGTTGCCCCGTTTCGCTGTACTCGCCAGCGCAGTCCCTCTGCCTAGCCGCCGACGCAAAAAGTGTGTGTGTGTGTGTTGTGTGTGCCTGTGTGTGTGTGTGTGCGTGTGTGCGTGCGTGCGTGCGTGCGTGCGTGGGTGCGTGCGTGCGTGCGTGCGTGCGTGCGTGCGTGTGGTGTCTGTGTGTGTGTGAGACAGTGAGTGTCACTTCCTTTTGCCTGTGTTCCCCCTCCTTTTCCCCTGTCAGCTCCCCCTTCGTCCCCACCCGTGAGACTTCGTGCAGTCAGGCTCCGTATGGATGAAATCTGAACGTTTTTTGGGGGCCCCTGAGAGCCTGGTCGTGGTTCCCATACCACACTCTGGCCGTTTCCTTCAACCTGACTCCGCCTCGTTGCTCCCCGTGTGGCCGCGATGCCAAACATTTGTGCATTGTGCGTTTGTGTTTGTGTTTGCGTGTGCGTGCGCGGTGATTGGATATTGACGCCTGCTTAGCTTCTGCTTGATTGGATAGTTTCACATTGGTGAAACAATTCTCTAGCTTCTGTCATATCATGGCTTTTTAGATGGGTTGGGCGCCTTCTGGCGTATGCTTTCAGCATTGTGCTTTTTCGGAGGACAAGGGTCTCGGGCGTGTGTAGGCATACTCTCGAAAGTATCCATTGCCGTGCGCTGATTGTATTTTTGATGCCTGATGGGTGCTCGCTGCGGGGGGAAGACTCAGGCTCAGGTCTTAGTAAGCGCAGTAGTGTGGGCAACTGCGTCGGTGAACCAGACATGCGTCTTGCACTTTCACATGTCCCAGTCCGTCGGTTTCAGGTCAATATGGCTGGATGTGCATTTTCGTTCACAGTGGTGGCTTTTTTACAAACGCACGCTCTCGAATTCAATTCTTGGCGGTTGGCGTATTTCCACTAGTCCATCCAGCAACAATTTCCAGGCGAGTTGTGTTGAGAACGGAATGGTTGGAACATGCAGTGGAAACAAAGCGAGGGGGAGGCCGTCACACTAAAGTGTTGGATCAGCCTGCGCAGTCCCAGGAGTGAACCAGATATGGTTTCGCGGCCGTGCCGAATAAAGGGGAGGGGGTGAGGAGGTGAAGGATGAGGACGATGCGGAAGGATACCGAGGATGAGGAGGAGAAGGAAGAGGAGGAGGAGGAGGAGGGGGGGAGGAAGACGGCGGGAGGAAAGGGAGCAGGAGGAGTCAGACGGCGAGCAGAGGGATGATTTGGTTGTCGCAGCGCGTTCCCACTTCACTTCTGGTGAACCCGATGTGGGAGGAGGATCAAGAGGAGGGGCAGGATCAGGACGAGGAGAAGGAGGAGAAGGAGGAGTGGGAGCACAAGGAGAGGGTGGGGAGGACCTGCGGCGGGACTTGGGCCAAGTGGTCAGTCCCGCTGTTGGTGGGTGCATCAACACGGCTTGCACTTGTCACATGCGGCGCGCACATCGAGATGTGATTCAGTGGGATGTTTCTTTCCAGGTCCTTGACATGTAGGCTGGCTTGTATAAGTGCAGCTCTGCGTTATCGCAACCGCAGGAAGTGATTTTTACCCACGGTGTTCCCAGGTTCACTACGCTCCTGGGCAAGATTCTTGCTGACACGGCGCTTCGAGTTGCCGATCTGTTTTGTTGAGGTGCTTTAGAATGACGATGCTTTCACTTTGTGTCCATTGGTGGTGCGCTTCGCCTTCGCTTGTTTGAACATACAATTTTCCTGAGTGGTGTGGCTGGCACTCCCCTTGGCCTTGCCGGGACTGGCGTCCGTCGTTACGTGGACGTTTGGGCACGGTGCCGTCCCCATGCAAGTATGTGTGTGTGTGTGTCTGTGTGTGCGTGGTGTCGAAGAGTGCGCGTGTTGAATGTAACTGAGAAGAGAGCGAGAGAGAGAGAGGGGAGGGACAGAGAGAGCGAGAGATATGGAAATCACAGGAAGAGAAAGAGAGAGAGAGAGAGAAATCTACCAACACAACAAAAGAGAAAAGGAGCGAGCGATGGAGGGAGAGTGAGAGAAAGAGAGAGAGAGAGAGAGAGGGAGGGAGGGAGTGTGCGAGCGCGTGCGAGCGCGTGCCAGCGCGTGAGCGCCTGTGCGGCTGCGGGGTCGGGTGCGATGGCGGTTGTGTCAGCCGTTGTTGGTTCATGACGATCCTGCATCTCTCCATCCGTCGACCCCCTGTGCCTCTCTGTTCGACAGTTTCAGGGACGCGTCGCGCTCGCATACAAACTGACGCCAGTGGCGGCTCGCTCTCAGGGGTGGTGGCCGCGACGAGGACCGCCGCGACGATCGTCGGGGTGGCCGAGACCGCTCGCGGGACAGGAAAGATAGGACGCCTATTTTTCTGTGCGCCAGGACTGGGAGCAGAAGAGAGGGGGGAGGACAAGCTAGGTGCGCTCGCGTCATATCTGACGTCCTACCCCTCCCTCCCATCCTTTACCATGGCGTAGATCTCCTCTCTATTCGCACAGTCGGATGTCGAGCAGGGCAATGATCCCGAGAGGGTGCGCGATGCATCGTGGAGCACGGCATAGCAGGGCGTAGAACAGCACGGCAGAGCGTAGTATGTCATAGCATGGCGTGGCGTTGCGTAGTGAAGAATTGCATCACAAAACGCTGCGACGAAATATTTGGCTCAAGGAAGGTGGCTCAAGTTCAAGGCGCTCAAGACGCTCAAGGCGCTCTGGGCGCCAGCTGTAGCAATCTTACATCCAGACTCCCACTTCCTACCTCCGATCCGCTCCTACCTCCGGGCGCGCCATGGCTGCTGCGGTTTTCCCCGGCGCCCAGGTTGTCTCCGGCATGGACATCGAGGCCGATGGCACTGGCGCCGCGCAGGGCCTAGCGGCGTTTCAGACGAGCGGCACCGCGGATTCGGATGCTGCCAGGACGTTGGCCGAGATGGAGGCCATCGAGGTCGACTCGGTGGACGGCGCGAACACCAGTGCTACACCTCCTAGTCTCATGCCGCCCCCCACTAGGCACTCCCTGCTGCGCGACTGACTCGAGGAACAACTCGTTCACCACTTCGACCTGGGGCACCCGACGGCTGCCGTCAGGCCCTGCTCTTGAAGCTCCCCACCACCTTCCAGGAGTTGGCGGTCGTCCTGACGAAGTTCGGCTGCAATTTGGAGACGGCCGACCCTTGGACGCTACTCGGCTTCGCACGGCTCGAGCGCCCCGACCCCGCCAGCGTGGACATCATCGCGCGGGGGCGGGCAGCTCGCATGGTCATCTCATTGGCCACTGTTCCGGGGTGGTCGGCTGCTGATACTGCCAAGGTTACGGCTCTGCTTGACCAGTTCAACTCGGTGGTCCCAGGAGTTGCTGAGGGTTCTGCAGGAGCGCCGCCGCATCAAACCGGATCGTCTGCCGATGTACAATGATCTGGGGTTCGATGCGGTTCGGACGATCACGTCCAAGTCCGAGCCCGACTTCGTGCTCTTCACCCAAAGGTCCGACGTGCTCCGCGTTCGCGACCCTTCCATACGCGACCCGAAGGCCTCTCGGGAGGTCGCGGCCTTGGCCGAGAAGGGCAACGAGACACTCTGGGACACAGTAGCGGGCCCGAGTGTTGCATTTTGGACTCCCTGTGGCAATAACTCGCTGACCAGGTTGCTGTCCTCGTACCCCCGTCGCTCGTCGAACTCGTCGCGCACCTTTCGCTCGTCATGGTTCCCACGATGCCCACGACGAATGGCCTCAATAACGTCACGAACACCGCAGATGTGTGTTTCTTCCCACTGCTATCCGAAAAGTGGTTACCCATTGTCCAGGACGTGGCCTTCATCTCCTTCCCCTTCGCAGTGGTTCTCTCCAAGATGTCTGGAATCCCGCGACTGGGGCGGCAGGGCCTGGCCTTCTTCACCTTGCGAGTGGGCGGATCCAGGACGCTTTCCCGCATGACCAAATTTCGCCGCTGTTGCACCTCGACGAAGTCAAGGTTGCCACCTTCGATCTCCTGGTGGACGAGATGCCGGTCCATGTCTTTGTGTGCCCTCCCGCCCCCGATGGGCGCCGCGCCGCGCGCGCGCCGCAGGAGTCTCCTGAGCATCGTGGAAACGCCGCGCGTCGCGCTCGACCCGGTCTTCCCCGGCTACTTCCCAGTCTTCGACTTTACCGCAATCCTCCGCGAGATCCGCCGCGCGGTCCTCGCAACCTCGATTTGCGTCGGGCTCGAGGGCGCGGCTGCTGACGCCGACGCATTCATCTCGGAGTGCAACGGGCAGGGTGTCTTTCACCAGTACTGGCGTCTCTGCTCGCAGATGCCCGTGCTCAGCCCCGCTCGGATTTTGGTGGTCTCTGGCGCCTCGGTCGCGACGTGGACGTCGGTCATGGGCGAGGCTTGCCGGCGAGGCCCGGGCAGTGCGGCGACGCGCCTGAAGCGCCGCCCATCGCGGTTCGGCGGGCGTGCCGTAGCCCCCCTTGCCGCGGTGGCCCCCCCCTCTGCTGCTGCCGAGCGCCGCGCGGTCAAGCCGCATTCAATTTCCGACTACGTCGCCGAGATAAAGGCCCAGGGGGGGCTCTGCGCGTGAGAAACCGAGGTCATGTCTAAGTTAATGGCGCGCGTGATTTCCTCGATTGGCCCTTCCCTCGCCGCGGCGCAGGACGAGGGCGACCCCCGGGCTGGCGAGTTCCACCGCGTCGCCCGCAGCCGCCTGCCCGCCGCCGGCGAGACGGGGGACGACCCGGGGGGGGGCGGGCCTAGGCGCCCCCCGCGCCCTGGACACAGCTGCGCGCTATGCTGAGGGGTCGAGGCCGCGGGGCGGCGTCGGAATTTATTGCGTTAGCTCGCTTGGTTTCTCTGGCTATGCCGTGATGGTCGTCTTCCGCGCCTGCGAGGGTTGCATTGCGCCTCCGTCGCCGTCGCGCCCGGGCCGCCGTTCGGCTTCGCCTGCGAGCTGCCGCGCTTCACATCGCGGGCGTTCTTCCCCTCGCCGTTCTGCGCCCTACTTCGGGCAGTTGCCTCTCCATTTCGCCGCGCGCGTCAGTCGCCCATCCATCCCGCCGCTCTTCATCGCTGCCGACGAGCTTCTGCCTGACGTGCATCCCATTCCTCGCGCCCGCGACGTCCCGCTGCGCATCTATAGACGTCTCCGCGTCTTCCGCGCTGTTGGCGCCATGCCTGCCGCTGGATCCTCCCGCCTCCGTTGACTCGCCTCCTGTTCGCCAGGTTCCCGCGGCTTCCCAGGGAGGCCAATGCTCTGGGGGCCTCGCGGCGTCGACCTGGAACGCGCAGGCGTTGTCCTCCGCGGACGTCCGCCGCTTCATGGCCAAGACTGCATGCGTCGCCAAGCTCACTTTAAAGACTGACATTCGCATGGTCACCGACGCCAGCGGCTCCGACACGAGCAATTCCACCTGGGGCCCCCCCGCCGATACCACCGCGCGGCGGTCGGAGGGCCCCTCCCATTGTCAGGCGGGCGTCGGCGTGATCATTCGCGATTCATGTCTCAAGCATTTCTCGTGGCTGCCCCGCTGGGTGCACATCTGGAGAAGACGGGCCTGTCTCCGCGGCCCCTTTGGCGCGCTGGGCGCCGCGGTGGCCTGCGCTCGCGCGGGCAATCGCCACGCGCCAGAAGAGCGCGTCTTGGACGGAGTTCCGGCTTTTCGAGGTCTTGCGGCCCGCTCTGACTTCGACCTCCGTTCTTTACTGCGTTCCAGGATCGGCGCCCCCCTGTCCTCCAACGAAGACTGCCCCATGGGATGGGGGCATCAACTGGGCCACCGCCGACGCGGACAGGGCGGCGGCCTCTGGCGCCCCACCGGGCGCCGGGGCGCGCGAGACGAGCAGCACTTCAAGACGCTCATCGGCGATGAGTTCGGCATGGCTGAGATGTGCCAGGGCGAACCGGCGAACCCTCGCGCATCGGCTTCGGCGCGGTCTCGCATCGACCGCATCTACGCCAACTACCACCTGGCGGACCAATTGAACAGGCGCATCCGGCGTGCTGCCCTGGAGTGGCGCCATGACTTCTCGCGCCGCCGCGCCGTCCTCTGCGCCGGGCGCGCCCCGCTGCATGGCGACGTCGATCGCCGGCTCCCTGTTGCGTCTGCCTGACCGACCCGTAGTTCTTGCGCAGAGTGGCGCTCGGGTACCGGGGGGCCTGCGAGGGCTATCGGCGCAGCAGCGGTCGCGATTGTACAAATGTGCCACGCGCCTGGTCGCCACCAGGATTGAGTCGGAGCTTTCTGTTCCCGTGCCAGCAGCTTGCGCGGAGGACCGGCTAGGCGTCGCGATGAAGTTTATTCGCGCTGCGGAGGCTGGCAGCCCGGGCGAGATCTCGGCCCGCCCCGCGCGCCATCCCGGTCTTCGGGAGGCAGCGGGCGACCCCTACGTCGTCGAGGGCAACGTGGCGCGACGCCTTCGAGGAGCTCGACTCCACGCTGCGCAGCCGGCCCGGGAACGTGCCATCCATGAGCTGGGGCGCCCCTTTGCCGACCTCACGAGCCAAGATGATTGTCGCGCCCCCCGCGCCCGCCAGCGCAGCGCTCGCCTTATCTATCGCCTGGCCCCCGGGCGCTGCGGCGGCATTTCTGCCGTCGAACAACCCGGCGAGGCGAAGGCCAACGCATAGCGGAAGCATTGGTCCGAGGTTTTCAAGGCTCAGGGCGCGGGCCAGGCTGCGCTCCAGCAGCGGGCGGCCGAGGGCGAGGGCGCCCGACCATTATCGGGCGCGGCGCCGCTCGACGCGCCAGGGTTCCAGTTATCTCGTCGACGCATTCGTCAGGCCATCGAGCAGTCCAAAAATTCGCCACCCTGTCCGGGCGGGATCCTGCCCCAGGCGCGGCGACGGAACATCCCGTTGTCCACCGCGGTCTCGTTCGACGTCTGCCGGGCTTTTTCCGGCGACGAAGGGGCTGCCGGCTGCCGTCGTGGAGCGGCGCGCGGAGGATTGTAACGCCAGTTTGTTGTTTTTCTTGTCCAAGACGCCGTCGGGGGCGGGGCCCGCTGGCGAGGGTTTCGCGCCACTCCCAGCGCTTGCCCATAGAGCGTCGCCAACGCCGACAGCGGGCTGTTGGCCAACGCGGCGCGCGTCCTCATCGAGCCGATCATCGGCCCGAGGGTGTCCAGCGCCTAGCGGGGCGTCATCGGCGGGTGCCCCATGTGTTCGAATTTGTCGGACATCGAGGAGGCTTGGGCATATGCCGCCTGCGCTTCCGACGAGGCGGGGGCCATCTACTTTGATTTCGCGGCCGCCTTCCCCCTTATCGAGCACGACTTCCGCGCGGCCGTCATCGAGTCGCCTGACTGGCAACGTTGGCCCCGGAACTTCATTGGCGCGCTGTGCCGCGGGAATTTCTGCGACATTGTCTTGGGCGGTGCCCGGCGCCGCGGGCTCGAGGTCCACAGGGGTATGCGGCGGGGGTTTCTGTTGTCCCCGTTGCTCTTCGCCGTTGCGGCGGACCTGCCGTTGCGCCAGCTGGCCCCGGCCGATCTTTCGGGCGCATTGCGCGCCTGCGCGGGCGACGCGGCCCTGGTCGACCCGATGCTAATGCAGCGCCTCGGCTTGCTGGAACGCGTCTTCTCGGAATTCGCCCGCGCGTCGGGGCGCGCTCGGGCCCAGCGCCAGCAATGCTGCCTTCCCCCCCTCGGCCAAACTTCCCACCAACAGGTTCGATAACGTCTTCGGCACGAAGCCCCGCTCTGGGGTGCCATGGGGATTGCAGACTCTGCCAAATATATTGGGTTTACGTTGGCCCTGGGCGTAGGCTCAAAACATGGGTGGCAGCGCTTCAAAACACGGTAGACCGAGCGGAGGTGCGGGGGCAATTTGGAACGGGCATGATGCACGCAATCGAGGCGCACCGCGTGTTCATCGTATCGGTTATCGGCTTCGTCGCCCAGTTCGACTTTCCCCGCCGATTCCCCGACCGTCGAAAAGCGAATGTTACGGGGGCTCTTCCGAGGGCCGTGCGAGTGGATCCATGGCGACATCTTGCTGGCTCTCTCGACTGTGGGCTTCCCCCGGAAATTCCCCGACGTCAAGCCATCGCCACTGCCGCAACGGTGCGGGTCGTCACGCGCGAGGCGCACCGCAGTGGAGGCGTTCGCGTTCTGGCACGCGCGACGGCCCTTCGCGAGAGGATGGGTGACCTGGGCAGCGTGCAGAGGTTGGGCGCGGGCGCCCGCCATGCCTCGGCCGCGTCGACCTTTCTCTTCTCCTTGGAGGCCGCAGTGCACGCTGTCGCGGCAAGAGGAGGCGCCGCGAGGCGATTCCTCGATACCTCGCCCGACGAATCCCGCAGGGAACGAGCGAGCGCTTCGCCGGCAGCTGGACCACTGGACGTGGGGTATTCTCCCGGGGCGTCGGTGCCAAAGACCCTTGAGGGCCATGGGTGACTTCAGGGCGCCGGTCCCACCCAGGGTGTTAGCTGCGGTCCTGCGGGCGAACCTCAACGGCTGGATGGCCGCGCGTCGGTTCCAGCGCGCTGGCCGCTGTGTTCTTGGATGCGCCCGCGGCGCTGGCTCTCTGCAGCAGTGCGCGCAGTGCCCGGCGTACCAGGACTTATGCCGTCGACGCTTGAGGTTTGAGCGCCCCGGCCCGACTGTTGCATTAATTCGACGATTTCTTAGTCATCGGTTTCGCGATTCGGCATGTGCGCCCGGGCGAGCCCCCTGTTAGTGGCACCGCTGCTCTGGGACCGCGTGCGTTGAGTGCGCGCTTTTTACCGCGCGCATTATGTGGCCAGGAACTCGCCCAGGGCCAGCCCCCGTAGTGAACTCTTATGCGGGTTCCTCCGCAAAGGGGTCAGGGGCCATGCGAAGGCGATGGCTTTGTTCAGCGCTGTGCACAAGCGCCGCCGCCCAGAATAATTATTTTTCCCTCTTTCTCTTGGGTCTGGGGTGCTCTGGGTTTCTGGCAGGGCTTCGGAGCGTTGTCCGTGGGGTTTCGTGGGGGCGCTGTTTTGTCGACTGTTTTCTTTTTTTTCTCTTCCTCCCCTCCCGGTAGGTGCTGTCACATTGCTTCAAAGTTTTAGGACACCTGGTGTCATTTCCCCCTCCCGCAAACGCGAGATTGGGGCCCGCTTCGGCGAGCGTGCAAGGGGCGCTGCTGTGGTCGTTTCGAGGTTGGAGTTTAGTTCATATTTGTTCGGTCTGTGCCTCCCTTCCTCCTGTCCTCCTCCTCTGCTTCCTCCTCCCCCTTTCGGGGCGTTCTGTGGCCCAAAACCCTGCGGTATTTCAACCGCCGTTTTCGCCCCCAAAAGGTTTGTTGAAATACTTATCTTTCTTGGGTGACTTCATTTTAGGGAAAGCCACACTTTGTTGTAGCGTGTTCTGCCTCTGACAGTAACGGTCTGGATGTCTGATGGCGTGGAACAGGGATGTGCATGCTACAGTATATATGTGCATATAATTTGCATGTCTCTCTCTGCCTTCTGTCTGTCCTCCTCGTCCTTCTCCCTTCCTCTCTTCTCGCCGGTGTTTTTTACTTTTGGGATGTTGTTGTAAAATAAACCGCTCGTCTGTCTCTGCCGAGCATCGCCAAGGAATGCACGTGCTACTCGAGAGATGTTGTGGTCGCCCCATGTCCGATTCGCCCCCCTCAAAACATACATTGCAACACAAATAGTGGCATCGTACAGCGGCACAGAACAGAACGTGGCATAGCATGTTGTTGAAGATCAAAGCGTAGCATGGCATAGCATGGCGTGGCACTGCGTATTCAAGCGCTGCATGTCCTAGCGTTGTAGCTGAAGGCATGGCATCGCACAGCGGCACACCACATAGCATTGCATTGCATGCCGTGGCATGACACTGGAAATCATGACGCCAGCGCTGCAACTGGAGCACGATTCGGAACGAGCGGAAATGAGGCAAGCGCTGCAGCGGGAGCACGGTTCGGAACGAGCGGAAATGCGGAACATGAGGTCATTGCTGCAGCGGAAGCAGCATTTTGGGAAAGAACAAAGCGAAACCCAACTCCCAGGAATCCTGTGTGTAAAAACACAGCACGCGGAGGGTGCCGAACATTTTCTGGACGTCATCAGGGGAGAGAGCAGAGTAGTTTCCATATTGTGTAATTTTAATTTGGGCAGTTGGGTTGGGGGAATGGGGGAACAGAGGGAAGAGAAGGGGAACGGGAGGGGTCGGTGGGGGAGGGGAGTGGGGTCAGGGCAAGGCGCAGAGCCATGAGAGAGCGCGCCCGTGGTACACTCCCAAAGGGGGGGGTCCCCCTTAGCTATACCGCCCCCCCTTGGACCTGCCCTTCCGGAAGCCCCCCCCTCATTTTCCCGCCCCGTGGAAGCTCCCCCCCTCTTTTTCTCGTGCTCCGGAACCTGCCCCCCTCTCCCCTCCCTGTCCAAGGGGGGATCTTAGCGACCCCCCCTCCGTTGAACCTCCCCTGCCGGAAGCCCCCCCCCGTTTTTTTTAACGCCCCTCGGAAGCGACCCCCCCCCCCGCCCGCCCTTTCGCGCTCTACCCCCCCCCTCCCTTTCAAACGGGGGGGTGGCCTTAGCTACGCGCCGCCCCCTTCGAAACCCTCCTGCCGGACCCCCCCCATCCCCCCGTTTTGGGCCAATCGAGCGCGGGCGATAAGAAAGTCTACCCTCCCCTTTTCCCCCTCGTATTTTTTATCCCCGTCCAACAGGATTTATTTGTGGAGGGGGGCGCTTAGGTCGAACTTTATAATCCACGGGGAAAGTTGCGAATCGGAGTTTTTATCATCTCATGTTGACTAGCAACAACACCAAAAAACGCTAAGCATGGCCATGGTGGCTCACCACACCAGCTTCCGCAATCACGAGCGTGTGGCAGGGCTGTGGGATTCTCACCAGTTCAGCCTTGTGTCGTGCGCCTGGTTAGTCACGAGCCTCGAGATCTCTCGAGTGAGCCTTGAGCCGAGCGCCCAGGATCACCATCATCATCATCATCATCATCATCATCATCATCATCATCATCATCATCATCATCATCGTCATCGTCATCGTCATCGTCATCGTCACCGTCACCGTCACCGTCATCATCATCATAACTTACCTTCCCCAGGAAAATCTTTCATTATCCCCGCCAGAACCCCGAACTTTATTCTCCCCGGGGGATTCTTATCGCCCGCAGTGAGTTAAAGGGGGGGAGCTTAGAAGCCCCCCTTTGGTTCAAGGAAGGAGCACCGAAGACCAAAAGAGCGCCGAAAACCAACAGAGCGCCGAGAACCAAAGAGCCACCGAAAACCGAAAGGGTGCGAACCAGAGCGCGCCGAAACCCAAAGAATCGCCGAAAACCGAAAGGACACCGAAAACAAAAACGGCGCCGAAATCCAAAGATGCGCCGAAAACCAAAGGAGCACCGAAACCCAAAGGATTGCCGAAAACCAACGGGGCACCGAAAACCAAAAACGCGCCGACAATCAAAAGGTGGCCGAAAACAAAAGGAGCGTCGAAAACCAAAAGAGCGCCGAAAAGCAAAGGGGCGCCGAAAACCAAAAGGCGCCGAACACCAAACGAACGTTGAAAATCAAAGAGCCGCCGAAAACAAAAAGTGGCTCCGAAATCCAGCGGGGCGCCGAACACCAAAGAGACGCCGAAAACCAAAAGAGCGTAGAAAACCACAGCAGCGCCGAACATCCAAAGTGCGCCGAAAACCAACGAGCACCGAAACCCAAAAGGGCGCCAACAACCGAAGGGTCGCCGAACTTGAAAAGGACGCCAGAAACCAAAGAGGCGCAGAAAACCAATAGGGAGCCGACAACCACAGGGTCGCCAAACACAAAAAGGGCACCAACAACCAAAACAGTGACGAAAACCAGAGGAGCGCCGAAAACCGGAAGGGCACCGAAGACAAAAGCGGCGCCGAGAAACCAAAGGAGCACCGACAACCAAAGGGGCACCGAAAACCAAAGAGGCGCCGAACACCAACGAGACATGGAAAACCACAAGTGGGGCGCAAACCAACGGGGCGCCGAAAACGACACAAGAAACGTAGCTTCGAGACCACCCTTCAGCCTGCCTGGGCCCTCCAGCTGAAAAGCCAACAGAAGGAGGGAAGGGGGGTAGTTTCGGAAGCCTCCGCCGCCCCCCTTTGAAAGTGGAGCCTGGGCTGGCCCTGGGTTCCGAAAAGGGGGGAGGGGGGGTAGCTTCTAAGCCCCGCCCCTTAGCTAGGGCCCCCCCGAGCTGAAATGCACACGCGAAAGGGGGGGAGGGGGGGTAGCTTCGGAAGCCCCGTTTTTTTTCCAAGGGAAGAGGGGTAGCTTGAAGCTGGGACCCCCCTTTTAGTGAGAAATATGTCACGAGCGCGCCCTTTCAGAGCCATCGTGCGCGCGAAATTGGCAGTTCAGAGTTCCGCACGGAGTGGATCGGCTGGTGATGACTCAGTCACGGCGTCGGCTCAAGGCACGCCGTCTTTTGGCAATATGGGCATTGTTGACGTTTCGCGTGTCCCCACTGGCCCATCTAGAACCAATGCCCAGGCGAGTTGCTTTGATCATGAGAGTGTAGGAGCAAGCAGTGGAACAAGGAGGGGCAGCTGTTAAACAGCCTGCGGCAAGTCCCGCCACTGTGCCCGCACGGCATTTCCAGCGGTCGCTTCTTCTTTATATAATAATAATACTAATAATAATAATAATAATAATAATAATAATAATAAATATACTACTAAGAATAATAATAATAATAATACTAATAATAATAGTAGTAATAATAATAATAATACTAATAATAATAAACATCCATATGGAGGAACTCTTGGGCCATCTTGGGGCCATCTTGACAGTCGTAGAGGCGTCTCGGGACCGTTTGTGAGGCCATCTCGGCCGTCTAAGAGGCATCTTGGCCGTCTTGGAGAACATCAAGGGGCCGTCTTGGGTGGGAAAAGCCATGACAGGTAGATTGTCCTGGCAGCCGGCGGCTTGGGCCGAAGCCCATTGAAGCTCCTGAGAAAGGGACCAAAACCCTTCAGAAGTTCAGCACGCCGTGCGCCCTTGTGATGAATCACCAGGGGGCGGCGGGTCGAAGACGCCCACGGCGAATCACCGCCACCCGTTGCCTTTTAGGAAGCGCCTATGTGGCCAAACGTTCGGGCAAAGTTTGGCCACGCTATTGGACCATGTGTTCCCCCAGCCGTTGTGGAAGCCCTTCTGGGAACATGTGGGGGAGGAAGAGGAGGATGATGAGAGGAAGGAAAACAGAGGATGAGGAGAAGGATGAGGACACCGCTTAAGAGCTTCTTGTGCAATGTTTGGGGCCTCCTGGAAGCTTCCTGGGGGCATCTTGGGGGCCTTTTTGGGCCTCTTGAGGGCCTTTGGATGTTTCTTGGGGGCCTCTTTGATTGTCTAACGGCTTTCCTGGCCCGTCTGATTCCGTCGGAAGTCGTCTTGGGAGCCTCTCTGGGCCGTTTTGGGTCGCTTCAAGGCCGTCTTGAAGACCATCTTGTGCGTCTTGGAGGCCTCTTGGGCCGGCTTGGGGCCCTTGGGTTCTGTCTTGGGGCCCTTGGGGGCCGTCTTGGGAACCTCTTGGGCCGTCCTGAGGCCATTTGGGATGCCTCTTGGGCGATTTAGGGGCAGCAATCTTGGGAGCCTCTCGGGCCGTCTTGGGCCGACGGGAGGCCGTTTTAAAGCAAATGCCAAAATCATTCAAACACCAAATAACATCAAGGATTTTGGCCTCTCCGGTGGAACGTATTAGGGTTTTTTTGAGTGCCTCCTGTTTCTAAAATGAGCTGGGACAAGGGCGAGAGATAGCGAGCGTTTGTCCGCGGCCGCTTGGGCTCAAGTGGCCGGCCGCCAACATATGAATGTGCCTCATCTCGAGGCACACTATTTGCCATCGAGACCGAAAACACCTTCGCTCGAGATGGCCTTTCGCTCCCGCGACGACCTCCTC